CCCTTTACCCCCCAAGGATACATCCCCCAAAACCTTTCGCACAGAAAAAAACCCCCACTATCCAGAAAATTTTGATCTAAAGGGAAAGGGTTTGTCTTTAAAAAGGGAAAGGGTAAAATTAAAAAGGGAAAGTTTTTGCCAAAAATTGTTTTTAAACCCAAATTTTCAGGGGGAAACAATCTTTAATTTTTTTTTTTTTTTTTAACTTGGGGCCTTCCCCTGCTTGTACCGGGAAAGGTGTGGGGTGTTTGCATTTTGGGGGGCATTAATGGGGTTTTGGGGCTTTGCCTCTGGAAAAACAGTGATGGATTTGTATTTAGTGTTTTTTTTTTGGGGTCACAAGGGCCTTGGTGGAAAAACCAGTGATTTTTAAAAATAAAAAAATAATGGTTGTAACAGTTGAATGTTTTTTTAAAATTTTGGGTTGAATTTCATTTACTTCCCCCTGGGGGGAAGTTTTTAGGGTGTTTAAATTAAAGATCTAGGATCATTTAAAATTTTAAAAAATGTATACAAAAATTTTACTATTTTAAACTGTTGACCTCTTAGTGTCAGTTTTAAAGTACTAATTTCCTTTGTTTTTAAACCCATAGGGGTTTTTTTTTTTTTAGTCAAATTTTTAAAGGGGGTTTATTATTAAAAAGGGTTAAAAGTTAAGAGAGCTATGCTTTTTTAGTGTGGGGTTTTTTTGGGGGTTACCCCTGTTTTTAGGGGGGAAAAAACCCAATGTACTGTTTCATGGGGACTCATTTTACACAATTTAACCCCCCCGGGAGCTTGAAAAAATTCAAGAAGGTCACAGCGCTGGGGTAGTATTGTCCGGAAAATTTTTTAAAGGGAAAGGTTTTAAAAGGGCCCAAAAAAGGTCTTTATGGGGGGAAATAAACCCCCCATTCCCCCAAGCGTTGGCAGATAGAAATCATTGGACACGTTTTCATGGCGCTTGTATGAGTAAAATTAAACCAAAACATTTTATTGGTCCCGGTAAGTACAAAAGATTTTTCCTTAATGAAAAAGTTTCACAGCAAAACCACAAATTGGAGTAAATCTTTGGAAAAAAACCTTAAAGGTCCTTAGAAAAGGCGGAAAAATCAGATCAGAAAGGGGGTTAGGAATAGTCAAAAATCAGTTTAAGGGGGAGAAAGCCAAGTTAAGCCCCACTAATGGCGGAAATTTAAAGAAATTTAAGTGGTTGGACAGGAAATTTTGGTTTTTAATTGCGCTATTGTAGCGCTATGCTTTTACAGGGTTTGGGAAACCCCTTATGTGGAAAGAATTGGGTATATGCCAGGGATGGGGGGTTTCCCATCTACCAAAAAAAACTAGGGAAAGCCAGTTCTTTTTAGGGGGGGTGTTTTTGGTTTTAAACTAGAAGTGCCGGGGAAATTTGATGGACAGTTTTCGAATTTTCAGACAAAATTTGGGTGGTCTTTAGGGCAATTTTTACATTGGTGATTTTTTCCCAAATTTGTCCAAAAATTAAAACCCCCAAAATTTATTTCTCGTTAGAACAAATTCCTAACTAAATTTTTTTTAGAATACCTTCTTTCAAACTTGAAAAAGAAAAAAATGCTCATTTTAAATTTCCAGAATACCCTATAAAATGAAATGGAAATTTAGTAAAATTCGCATTTCTTTTCCCTACACTGTGGGGGGCAGGGTTTCTTTTTTTTTTACCCTGTACACTCCCTCACCGGAAACCCATTTTCATGTGATGCCTTCTCACCCAATAAAAGTTTGGACGACTATAACTTCTTTCAAAAAACCGGGGTGTGGGGGCCCCCAAGGCAAGTTTCCCAAAAAGGTGGCCCAAAAGGAAAAAACAAAAGCTTCTCCTTTTAAATTTAGTAATATATATAGGAGAAGGGGTTACTAGCCCCTTCCAGCATTTTAGTTGCCTCTTACAACATGCATGGCTTACGGAGGAAGAATTTTGGTCCACTTCTCCACAGAGATAAGAGGAAATAAACAAGGACAAGAACTAGTAAGAAAATAGAAGAAAACCTGAAGGTGTGTGTATATACGGTGGTACCCCGAATTTCGGCCGAAATTCATTCCATAAGGCTATTTGAGTGCTGTTACCGAGCGAATTTGTTCTCAAAAGGAATAACGTAAATTAGATTAGTACATTTCAGACCCCCAAAAATACACTTACAAAAGCACTTACAAAAATACACTTGCATAGTTGTTTGAGTTGGGAGCTGTTCGAAATTCGAGGTACCACTGTATATGCTTGTACATGCATGTGCAATGTGACCTAAATGTAAGCAAAAGTAGCAAGACATACCTGAAATCTTGCATGTTAATGAGATAGAAAAAAGACTCCAACACTCCTACCATCATGTAAAACAATTACAAGCTTCCGTTTTATACTCAGTAAGACAGTAGTACTTCTCTGGGTGGTTGCTGTCTACCAGCCTACTACCCAGACGACTATAATATTGTACAGTATTTTTTTTTAATACAATGGTAGTCTCCCACTAAGGCAGGATGACCCAAGGAAGAAAACATTCACCAACATTCTCTCAATCACAGTCTTTTCAGAAGTGTTCTGACATACTATAATATTGTTTTTAGCACACCGTCCATCCCCCACTGAGGCATAGTGACCCGAAAAAGAACAAATGTAAGTTTTTTTTTTTTTTTTTTTTTTTTCCTCTCAACAAGTCGGCCATCTCCCACCATGGCAGAGTGACCCAAAAAGAAAAAAATCCCCTGGCAGAGGTGCCCAGATTCAACAGTTTAGAAGCATGTACTACTATAAAGATATAACATATCCCTCCAAACTGCCAATATCCCAAACCCCTCTTTTAAAGTGCAGGCACTGTATTTCCCATTTCCAGTACTCGAGTCCGGCTATATAAAAATAATCAGTTTCCCTGAATCCCTTCGCTAAATATTACTCTGCTCACACTCCAACAGCTCGTCAGGTCCCAAAAACCATTTGTCTTCATTCACTCCTATCTAACATGCTCACACACGCTTGCTGGAAGTCCAGGCCCCTCGCCCACAAAACCTCCTCTACCCCCTCCCTCCAACCTTTTCGAGGACAACCCCTACCCCACCTTCCTTCCCCTTCAGATTTATACGCTCTTCATGTCATTCTGATGTGACCCATTCTCTAAATGACCAAACCACCTCAACTCCTTTTCAGCCCTCTTGACTAAAACTTTTATTAACTCCACACCTCCTAATTTCCACACTCCGAATTTTCTGCATAATATTTACACCACACATTGCCCTTAGACAGGAGATCTCCACTGCCTCCAACCGCCTTCTCGCTGCAGCATTTACAAACCAAACTTCACACCCATATAAAAGTGGTGGTACCACTATACTTTCATACATTCCCTGCTTTGCCTCCATATATAACATTATTTATTTTTTTATTTTTTATTATCACACTGGCCGATTCCCACCAAGGCAGGGTGGCCCGAAAAAGAAAAACTTTCACCATCATTCACTCCATCACTGTCTTGCCAGAAGGGTGCTTTACACTACAGTTTAAATTGCAACATTAACACCCCTCCTTCAGAGTGCAGGCACTGTACTTCCCATCTCCAGGACTCAAGTCCGGCCTGCCGGTTTCCCTGAACCCCTTCATAAATGTTACTTTGCTCACACTCCAACAGCATGTCAAGTATTAAAAACCATATGTCTCCATTCACTCCTATCAAACACGCTCACGCATGCCTGCTGGAAGTCCAAGCCCCTCGCACACAAAACCTCCTTTACCCCCTCCCTCCAACCTTTCCTATGCCGACCCATACCCCGCCTTCCTTCCACTACAGACTGATACACTCTTGAAGTCATTCTGTTTCGCTCCACTCTCTCTACATGTTCGAACTGCCTCAACAACCCTTCCTCAGCCCTCTGGACAACAGTTTTGGCAATCCCGCACCTCCTCCTAACTTCCAAGCTACGAATTCTCTGCATTATATTCACACCACACATTGCCCTCAGACATGACATCTCCACTGCCTCCAGCCTTCTCCTCGCTGCAACATTCATCACCCATGCTTCACACCCATATAAGAGCGTTGGTAAAACTAGACTCTCATACATTCCCCTCTTTGCCTCCAAGGACAAAGTTCTTTGTCTTCACAGACTCCTAAGTGCACCACTCACCCTTTTCCCCTCATCAATTCTATGATTCACCTCATCTTTCATAGACCCATCCGCTGATACGTCCACTCCCAAATATCTGAATACATTCACCTCCTCCATACTCTCTCCCTCCAATCTGATATCCAATCTTTCATCATCTAATCTTTTTGTTATCCTCATAACCTTAGTCTTTCCTGTATTCACTTTTAATTTTCTTCTTTTGCACACCCTACCAAATTTATCCACCAATCTCTGCAACTTCTCTTCAGAATCTCCCAAGAGCACAGTGTCATCAGCAAAGAGCAACTGTGACAACTCCCACTTTATGTGTGATTCTTTATCTTTTAACTCCACGCCTCTTGCCAAGACCCTCGCATTTACTTCTCTTACAACCCCATCTATAAATATATTAACATTATTTGTCTCCACAAATACCTCGACGCACCACTCGCCTGTTTTTGTTCATCAGTTCTATGGTTAACCTCATCCTTTGTAAACCCATCCACTGACACATCAGCTCCCAAATATCTGAAAACATTCTATTTACAAACTATTTGCACTTAGTAATTATTCAGGGGAATGGGCTTACTAGCCCCTTGCTCCTGGCATTTTAGCTACTTCTTACAACACGCATGGCTTACAGAGGAAGGATTCTTCTCCGCTTTCCCATGGAGACTATAATATGTATATATATATATATATATATACACAGAAGCAAGCATGCATGACCATGGTAGATAGGAGCTAGTGGAAGCAAATGGCTTTTATGACTTGACGTGCTGTTGGAATAAAAGCAAAGTGACATTTATGAAGGGATTCTGGGGAACCAGGTAGCTGGCTTGAATCCTGGAGGTAGGAGGTGTAGTGCCTGCACTGCTTTGGTAGAAAATGGCTGATGTGTTAATAAAATAATTGTCCTGAATCTGTTTCAGCTTATGACTGACTGCATCTACATGAGCACAACAATCAGTGTTGCTATTGGATCAGAAAACTTCACTATCTCTGGGAAGCAGTTAATAGATCCTGGTTTTACTAAGGTATATTTAAAAAAAATATTAGTGATAAGTTTTAGTTTTTAGTTTTTAATTACTATTTTTCTTAAAATAATTTGAATTTATTGTTTTTCTTTATTAGAGAAACTCGAGGCCTAAGAAAAAAGCATATTCATTATAGAAAAACAGTTTGGTGAACTCATTTAGTTTCTTTGTTGCACATTGATGCTTATTGTATAGCTCTACCTGGGAGAATGTAAACTGCTGCTCAGAATAACATCGGATGCATGACATATTACTGGGTCACTGCCAGAAAATCAGTGAATAATATTTTTCAACTTATTAAACCCTCTGCCCAAGTGCAGTCAGGCCAGTTATGCATATGTTGTTGTATTCCAGGTTTTAGGTAACTAGGTGTATATTAGAATTGGGCAAATTTAATTCCTCCCTCAATTGTAGTTAAAGGTTTGACAACCTTCAGTCCCTTCCAAGAGGTTCAGTGGTACAGTTTAGTATGTACATGGTGTTATTCGAGATGGCAGTTTTCCTCCTCAAAAAGGCTCTCATACTCAAAAAAAAAAAATATCTACATTAATAATAATAAAAATATTAATTATGCACAATAAAGCTCCAGTTTTTTCTCCCTAGATCATGGATTGGTTAGCCTTACAAGAGGAAGAGAAATTACCTGACCTTAAGTCTGGAGATGATTTGGCTATCATTGAGGTTTGTTCTGTTTATTGTTCAGCTCATCCTTCTTTACCATTCTTACACTGAGGAAATACTTACTAATATGACTCACAAAATTGTAATAGCACGATCGCAAACAGACCACAGTACAGTTTCAAACCCTACCCATACCATGGTTTACTTACTAATAGCTCTATAATTCATTTGGGTGTATAGCAATCAGTGTTAAAGAGTATTTCATATAAAACTATTTTTGTTTTAACAAAGTAGTGTTGCATTAATGAATTTGGAGGAGGCATGCATGAGGTGGATAGGATATCAGTGTGGCTGGTGTTGCAAGTGTATAGAATTGGAGCTACTCTAAATTATTAAGTTGTAAGGAGTTTTTATGAGAGAATGAGGCTTGGGTTAGGATATATAGCAGAGAAGTAGAATATTTAGGCAAAGAAGGCAACCTAAGACAGCACTGATGTTGCAGTTTGTTTGAGAGGTGGTATAAGATAATTAAGCATATATAAGTGGAGGATGTCTTATTTGTTTTTTGATGGCATGGTATTGTGGGGGAGATTCTGAATTATAGATACAGAGTTTGAAAATGTATGCAGAAACTCTAGTTAAAAGTGGGCAAAGAAGGCAAGGTGATGAGAGTATGATTAGTAATCTTTGGAGAAGAAAGATTGGAGGTCAGATTTGAAGGAACAATTATAGAGAAAGTGTTTTATACACATACTTGGAATTGGATGTGTCAACACAGTTCTGTGAAATATAAAGGGAATCATAAAATAGATATCAGTAGGAAGGTGGCACAAGTGTTGACGAATACATGGAAAGAAAAGTTTATTGATGAATTTAAAAACCAGAATATACCAGAATACAATCCATTGGTACTGGACTTTTATACAGAGACAGTAGAATTAAGAAATTACATAGTTTGTGGTGATAAAGGCATAATGCAGAGAAGAATGTTTTTATGGTAGATAATAATTTAATTGGAGGCTTGGGTGTTTAATTTTCATTTCATATAGTTTGGTTTGTTGTGAATTCATTTTATTGTTTTAAAATTTTATTACTAATATCCTGCTGAAGATCCAATTCAATTCACTTCAAGTTTATTCTCTATAAGGGTTACAATGTGGGGTTTACAGGTTTTGGGTATTGTGTGGTTTACATGTTATAAAATACTAATTACAGAGGGGGGCCATTAGGACACCTAGCATGGCTAGGCATTTCGAGCAGAATTAGATTAATTCTTAACATTAAATCCTTACAGATTATGATATTAAGGCTAAGTGACTACATCATAATTTGTGAGTTTAGCAATGTAAATGCTTTTGTTTTGGCACAATACAGTGTCTATATTGAAGTATCATAGGCAAACTTATGACTAGTTAGGATTTATTATTTTAAGATTAAGATTAGTATTTCTGGGTTTATAGTCAGTGGGTGAGTGAATGTAATTGTGAACCACCAGGTGGTTATCATGTAGTTAGTTGTCGGGGTGGATCAGGGAGATAAGATGTTTTCTAACTGTAGTTTTGAAAGTGATGAATGTGTCTGCAGTTCTAGAGTTTTCAGGTAGGGTGTTCCAGATTTTAGGTCCTTTGAAATACATTGAATTTTTGTAAAGATTTATATTTTGGTTATATATTTTGGGGATTGTTTGTCCATTAAAAGACATGCACAAAGCAAGTTCTTATTATCACAATAAAAGTATACTACATGTATCTTTTACTCCTCCTGGTTGGCATCTCACCCTTATATCCAGCCATTTAATTTTTAGAATTAAATGTTTTTACTTCTTTTCAGTCAAAACTCAGTGAGCGACAAACGTCGCCCCCAGATTACTTGACTGAGTCAGAATTGATTAGTCTCATGGAAAAGCATGGCATTGGCACAGATGCTTCAATTCCTGTCCATATCAACAATATCTCCCAAAGAAATTATGTGCAAGTGGCAACTGGGCGTAAATTGGTGCCTACTAATCTGGGCATTGTCTTGGTTCATGGCTATCAAAAGGCAAGTAACATACAGCATTCTTCTGCTCATTCATTGAGTCATTTATTATGACCTATCTTGGGGTTTACAGTATTCTTTGTTTTAATCTGTTTAAAACCAGACAACCTGCTTATTAGACATTTATTGTTTCTGTCTTGAGGTATAAGTTAAATGCATTTTTTCGGCTAAATATAAAGTATTTGTTCTACACGAGTTCTTATCTCGCAGAAGGGATGAAATAATTAGTTTTTGGGTGACCCGAAAAAGAAACACTTTCCCCATCATTCCCACTATCACTGATTTGCCAAAGGTATGCAGATATGACAGTTTAGATGGCACTTTAAACAGCGGATATTCCAAACCCCTCCTTTAGAGTACAGGCACTGTACTTCCCACCTCCAGGACTCTAGTCTGGCTAACTGGTTTCCCTGAATTCCTTCATAAAATATTACCCTGCTTACACTCCAACAGCTCATCAAGTCCCAAAAATCATTAGTCTCCACTCACTCCTATCTAACATGTTCATACATGCCTGCTGTATGTACGTCCATATTTTTCTTTTCAAATAATTGGGCATTCGAGTATGTTTAACTCTCCCACCAGTTGTTACTCGGTTGTAATTTGAAGGCAGCTGAAAAATTTTTTATTTTTTAATACAGTAAGGCCCCGCTTTATGGCATTCCGCTAATATGGCAATGTCAAATTATGACCAAAATTTGCTATACGGCAAGCGGTCTTTCAAATACGGCGCCCCCACCCAGTTTGTTTACATTTTCCGTGACCACATCTATTATGTCAGGAAACTTTCCAAAATTACAAGTGTTTTAAAGTTACTGCATATTTTATACATACTCTGATAATTATACTTATGTGTACCTGTACCTAAATATACTTACACACTATGCTGGTGTGCAGGTACACATTAAAATCGCTAAGAGTCTCTCTACTCATGACGCCCCAATACTACGTAATAATAATCACTCTTGGGCACACTAAATGTCTTATTTTACATCAATATAAGAACATAAGAATGTAGGAACACTGCAGAAGGCCTACTGGCCCATACGAGGCAGGTCCTTATCAAAACGATCTCTACCTAAAGCTACTCAAGAAACAACTCCCGCACCCCCCAACACCAATCAAACCCAGCCCCTCCCACTCATATATTTGTCCAGTCTCTTCTTAAAGCTACCCAAGGTCCTAGCCTCTATCACCCCACTGGGAAGACTGTTCCACGCATCTACAACTCTGTTAGAAAACCAGTACTTACCTATGTCCTTTCTAATCTTAAATTCATCCAACTTAAATCCATTATTCCTGGTTCTTACCTGGTTCGACACCCTCAGTACTTATTAATGTCTCCCTTGTTTATGCCCGTCATCCACTTATACACTTCATGATATCTCCCCTCATTCTAACGCCTCTCCAGAGAGTGAGATTTAAGGCTTTAAGTCTATCTTCATACGGAGGTTCCTTACACAGTAAATCATTTTAGTCATTCTTCTCTGTATGTTCTCTAATGAGTCTATGTCCATCCTGTAGTAAGGGGACCAAAACTGAGCGCATAATCTAAATGAGGCCTCACTAGTGATGTATAGAGCTGTAAAATAACTTTTGGACTTCTGTTACTTAACTTCTTGAGATAAATCCAAGTAATCTGTTGCCTTGTTGCGCACAACTGAGGCACTGCTGTCTTGGCTTTAGATTTCTGCTTACCATGACTCCCAAGTCTTTTTCACATTCTGTATGACCAAGCTCTACTTCACCTAGGCATTTTCATTAATCCATCTATGATATTTTCCTCAAAATTTATATGAAACCCCATAGCATAATAAATCAATATACATACACTCATATAATAAAAAATTGATGTAAATAGAGATTTGTTTACAAAGAAGCTGTGTAGGTAGTGTCGGAAAATTACGGTTTCTCTAATCAAAACACGTGGGGGTAACTGTAGAAAAATATTCTTTTTGTACGCCTTTACTCTATGTATAGGAATTCACGACCCTTGTGGGTTTAGTGCTTTTTATAATTATTATTATTATTATTATTATTATCATCATCTTCATTCATTCTAAAAATGGTGTGTTGCTGTTTGTTTGTTCTGAACTAACTTGTACAACTTGTACACAATGTAAGAGTATTTGTATTGTGAGGTAATTATTATTAAAATAAAAAAATATTGAGGTAAATGTTTTACGAACTCTTACAAACGGACGTGAATGAACTAAAAGTACACATATTAATACGCATTTATTTCGCCTGACCAAGTGATCGTCCACTACCTGTTCAGTTTGTGTTCTTACATTGTCTCAACTCTGTATCTCGTTCTCTCTCTCGTTTACTCTTTCGTTAACTAGTTGGCTCTCATTGACGATGGCATCTAAGGTTAGCTGTAATAAAAAGAGAAGTCGTAAGCCTCTTGCTTTAAGTGCCAAGTTAGAGGAGGATTTTATTCAATAAACGCCCTGCCACTCACCTCTCGCACATTAATATTAATATTTTAAGGTAAGTAATAAGTGTACTCTGTGTGTATCTTACCTTTTATTGTGTTCTTAATGCCTATTTCTATTACTAACTTAATATCAGTTAGTGTAAGCTTGTTGTCTGGCATTTATTGCATATTTTATGTGCTCTGATAATAATACTTGTGGAGCTGTGTGGTAGCCGGGTGGAGGGACAACATTACGTTTTCTCTGCTCAGCCATCAGAGAAAACGTGTATGAATCTGCGTTTGGCCCAGCCACTCCCTCACTCCGCTTTTGTTTACAATTTTCGGCATGAATTATTCATTACTTCTACCTTTGTTTATGATGGCATCTAAAGGTAGTTGTTAGAAATGATTAAATTCAGTGAACAAGGCATGTTGATGTTAATAATATGGCTCTGGGCCACAGTGTAGGTAGCCGGTAGCTGTAGCCCAGGCGGGCTACACCTATCGGCTACCTACACTGACTTTATACAAATTAATACTACTCGCTTCTCTTCCTATATTAAGACTACACATATTTTAAGGTAAATAATGAGTGTACTGTATGTGCATTTTACCTCTCTGGGATGTTTTAAATATCGTATATTAAGTATGAGACGGGGAGCCAGGGCTACCTACACCTGGGCTACCTGCACCTGACTTCCTACAAATAAGTACTACTCACCTCTCTCCCTACATTAAGATTACAAATACTTTAAGATAAGTAATGAATTTACTGTGACTATTTTACTTTGTGTGTTTTTAATGCCTAGTTCTATTACTAACTTAATATAATTTAGTGTAAACTTGTTGTCTGGCATTTATATGCATTTATAAATGGAAAAAAATGGAGTTCTGCCTTCTGGCGATGTCTTCTTTCCGGCGACGGCCTGGAACCTAACCCGCCGGATAAGTGGGACCCTACTGTATTTGTAAATGCAGAAGACTAAAATAGTTCAGCATTTTCTATCCTCATGTGTAATCAGGGAAGAGAGAGGTGAAGGTTTATAAACTAAAAGAGGAGGCAGTTAGGGTAAGATATAAACAGCTATTGGAGGATAGATGGGCTAATGAGAGCATAGGCAATGGGGTCGAAGAGGTATGGGGTAGGTTTAAAAATGTAGTGTTAGAGTGTTCTGTAGAAGTTTGTGGTTACAGGAAAGTGGGTGCGGGAGGGAAGAGGAGCGATTGGTGGAATGATGATGTAAAGAGAGTAGTAAGGGAGAAAAAGTTAGCATATGAGAAGTTTTTACAAAGTAGAAGTGATGCAAGGAGGGAAGAGTATATGGAGAAAAAGAGAGAGGTTAAGAGAGTGGTGAAGCAATGTAAAAAGAGAGCAAATGAGAGAGTGGGTGAGATGTTATCAACAAATTTTGTTGAAAATAAGAAAAAGTTTTGGAGTGAGATTAACAAGTTAAGGAAGCCTAGAGATCAAATGGATTTGTCAGTTAAAAATAGGAGAGGAGAGTTATTAAATGGAGAGTTAGAGGTATTGGGAAGATGGAGGGAATATTTTGAGGAATTGTTAAATGTTGATGAAGATAGGGAAGCTGTGATTTCGTGTATAGGCAAGGAGGAATAACATCTTGTAGGAGTGAGGAAGAGCCAGTTATGAGTTTGGGGAAGTTCGTGAGGCAGTAGGTAAAATGAAAGGGGTTACGGTAAGGCAGCCGGGATTGATGGGATAAAGATAGAAATGTTAAAAGCAGGTGGGGATATAGTTTTGGAGTGGTTGGTGCAATTATTTAATAAATGTATGGAAGAGGGTAAGGTACCTAGGGATTGGCAGAGAGCATGCATAGTTCCTTTGTATAAAGGCAAAGGGGACAAAAGAGAGTGCAAAAATTATAGGGGGATAAGTCTGTTGAGTATACCTGGTAAAGTGTATGGTAGAGTTATTATTGAAAGAATTAAGAGTAAGACGGAGAATAGGATAGCAGATGAACAAGGAGGCTTTAGGAAAGGTAGGGGATGCGTGGACCAGGTGTTTACAGTGAAACATGTAAGTGAACAGTATTTAGATAAGGCTAAAGAGGTCTTTGTGGCATTTATGGATTTGGAAAAGGTGTATGACAGGGTGGATAGGGGGGCAATGTGGCAGATGTTGCAGGTGTATGGTGTAGGAGGTAGGTTACTGAAAGCAGTGAAGAGTTTTTACGAGGATAGTGAGGCTCAAGTTAGAGTATGTAGGAAAGAGGGAAATTATTTCCCAGTAAAAGTAGGCCTTAGACAAAGATGTGTGATGTCACCGTGGTTGTTTAATATATTTATAGATAGGGTTGTAAGAGAAGTAAATGCGAGGGTCTTGGCAAGAGGCGTGGAGTTAAAAGATAAAGAATCACATATAAAGTGGGAGTTGTCACAGTTGCTCTTTGCTGATGACACTGTGCTCTTGGGAGATTCTGAAAAGCTGCAGAGGTTGGTGGATGAATTTGGTAAGGTGTGCAAAAGAAGAAAATTAAAAGTGAATACAGGAAAGAGTAAGGTAATGAGGATAACAAAAAGATTAGGTGATGAAAGATTGGATATCAGATTGGAGGGAGAGAGT